TTCAATGCCTTCCTATGAATGGCAGGATACTCTTCTTGCACAGAAACCCAGAACGTGACCATGAACAGTTCAGTGAATCTCATCTTGAGTGTACGATCAGATTACAGCTCACAAAAGTTCTTCCTCTTCCTTCAAAGTGAAGTTCTCAGGCTGAGCAGAAGATGCAGAGAAAGGATCCCTCAACCACTCATACATCTGTGTTGAAAGGGAGGGAAAGTGCTGATCAGTTTTATTCTGCAGTACTTCCAGGTGGTTTTCAAGTAGATTTGAGACTTTCTGGTATCCTTCCTCACTCTCAAGCCCAAGCAGCAGTGGAAATATTTCAGTATTTCCTTTTACAACATGATTTTTCCAAAAGTTTTCTCCAGTGCTTTGCTGAGACTGATTCATGTGATGAAAGATGTCCACTAAGTATGCTAGTTTCTGCAACCATTCTCCATCTTCAAAGCACTCAGCAAAATGTGAATACTATTTTCTAGAAAATACTCAGCTCAAACACCCTGTTGAGAACTCTTCCTCTGCTGAGTCATCATATTTCTGTGTGTAGCAGGAGAGTTACATGTTCTTTGTCCAGGTTTTCAGTTTTTAAAACATTCTTGAGTGAACTGGTCTTTGTTTAATAAAGTTAACCATTTTTGTAGCATCATCCAGAAGTTTTTTAATTTCATCTCCAAGAGTTTTTGACATCAACACTTCTCTGTGAACAAAGCAGTGTGCTGTGACAACATCAGGATTTTCTTTTCTTACAAGAGAAATGAAACCTCTCATGGAGCCATTGATTGAACACCATCAGTACAGTTGCCATCACAGTTCCTCTAAGACAGATTTTTTGTTTCCAGATATGAAGACAAAACTTTAAATACATCTTGCCCTTTGCATGTTTCATGTAGTTCTTTGCAGCAGAAAAGGTTTTCTTGAATTTCACCATCATTTACAAGTCTTACAAATGCCATAACTTGATATTTATTGGTGAAATCGGTTGACTCATCAACTCGGATAGAAAAGCTGCTCTTCAGTTTATCACACAAAACCTCTTCAGCATCATGTGACATGTCATCAATATGCCAACTTATTGTACAGTTTGACAGTGGAATATTTTCAGTTTCTTGTACTGCATCTGGTCCTAGCATTTTTTCCACTATTATTTTATATGCTGGCCCTTTCTCACCCAAAGAGTAACTTTTACTTTGCTGTGTAATAAGTTCAGCTACTAAATAACTTGCTTCTTGGGCTCTTTTATTGACTTTCATTTTATTAACAAAAGCTTTACTCTGTGTGTTCTGTAATTCCAATAGCCGTTTAAAATAATCAGAACTTTTACTTGTCACATCCAGGGAAATTAGAAGAAACTATGTTGAAATGGCTTTGATCTGTTTCAAACATTCGACATGTTGCTGTACTTCTAGTGTTCTTCATGGAAGAGGGGGGCAATCCTAGCCACAAAATAGCTGCTACAATTAGTGTACCCAAAGGTGAATGGATGTGTTTGCTCCTCCCACTCTATCTCCCCCCTCTCATCCCAGCTTATTTTCATATTTTTTACCTGATGGGCACATTGTCAAGCAGAGCATCACTTGCAGCCCCTCCCATTTTTATTTTCTAAAAATGTCTTGTTTTGCAGTCCGTCAACTTTTTATTTCCATAAGAGCTTGAAGGGACTTCAGAGGTAATCTAGTCTAACCCTCTGCTTGGTGCAGGTTCTACTAAAGCATTTCAGCTTGATGGATACCCATTCTGTTTGAAGACCTCTAGCATTTTACTTTTAATCAAGCTGCATCACACTGGTGGTTTACATTCAACTTGTGACGTACTGCAGTACCCATACTCCTTTCTTATGTACTACTTTTAAACCAGACTGCTCCCATTCTTAATTTTTTATCACCAGAAGCAGGAATTTAAATTTCCCCATCAAATTTTATCCTGTTTGTTTTAGCCCAATATTCAAACCTAGCTATATTTTTTTCCTCTTCATTTCTTTCACTTACTTCTTCTTCTTCTTCTCCTCCATCATCATCATCATCATCATCATCATCATGCCACACAGCATACACAGCTTATCTGATGCTAAGGTGTCTGTATTCACATCACAGACAGTTACTCATGAGTGCCATATTATCTATCTCTATGCTAGACTAAACTAGGAAACACAAGACAACAATAATCTTTAAGAACAAAAGTTTAGGAAGTCACACATTAATTCCCACACTAGCCTTCTCTTATAAATCCTATTATATGCAGCCAGAATAGGGGGGTTGATATATTACAATGAGTCTTGGGGGTCATTAAACAGGAAGAGAAAAATACTTAATTTATACCACCTTTCCTTTTGGAGGTCAAGCCAACAAACGTTTTCCTTTATTCTGTTCTCAAAATATGAACAACCCTGTGGAAAACAAGGTCTGAATGACAGTGACTGGCCCAAACTCACCATGAGTTCATAGTCAAGCAAGGTTTTTATCCAGGGTTTGCCTAGTCATAATTAAACACTTCAATTACTACATCACCATGCTGTAATAAAAGATGTGTAGCTATCTTCCTTAGGACAAAGAGGTGGGTGGAAAATGAAGAGAATGACAATTTCTTGCATAGTAGAAACTTACTGTAGCTGGTCAATCTTGTCACCGGTACCATCATTAGGAGCATAATCTTTATTCAGGCATGGAATCAGATCCTTCAGATCTTTTGGGTATTTGTAGTGACCCAAAGGTTTCTGCTCCAATTCGAAGCCCAAAGTGCTGAAAACACAAGACAAGCACAAAGTTATATGGTATGTATGAAGATGTTAGATAGAACAAGGAACACAATTTCCACTTGTTTCCCAATAGATGGATGGGTTCTTTTGAGTTCCCTATTATATCAGTGGACTGTATGGATATCAGTGGACTGTATTTTTACAGCTCGATTTTTACACCGATGTTCTAAACTGTGTCACTAAATTTTGATGACAAAATATGAAAAAAACACAGATATTTCATCCCTTTCTCCTTTAAGCTACCTCCTCAAAATAGGGGGGAAATGGCTTTGTGCCCTCCACTGATGCTATGGCATTACTGCCATTCTCCCATGCCTTTGGGCATTGGAGGAAAAAAATTTAAAAGTGAAGAGTGACTTCCACCCCAAACACTGCTCATCCTTACCTAAAAATTTCAATAAAGGCCAACCCAGATTGCCAGACTGTACCGTTAGAAGGAGAACATGAGAAACGGTCAAATCCCCACTTCAGATATTAGTTCCATCAATATCCAATGTTACTTTGCACATACAATTATTTGCATATAAGAATTACTGTAACACAAATATAATGGAAAAATTTTGGTCTCCCTAATTGTGAAGAGATTACTATATACAAAGATAATTGTATCTTTGCTATTTTAATTTATATAGTTTTGATTAATTATATAAATTAGTTTAAATTATATGCAAGCTAATCTTGACTGCAAAATAGACTACAAAACAATGAACACATAACTTTTGAAAAAAAAATCATCTGGTATCTTTTCATACATGCAGAATCTTTTTCTGCAACTGTTGATTTTAAGTTAGTACAGGTACATATATGCACTATCATATTGTTAGCCCGTTCCTGTGAAGCTGGGATATCAGTAACCAACTTCAAGTAAGGTTTAGGAGAATGAAAATGAAAAAGGTTAAAGCTCTCAAGATTCCATATATATACCAAACAGTAATTAACAGTTTTAACTGTATCCCAAGTCTAAATCCAGTCTTTATCTCAGACTTTATTTAGCACTGATAGTGTGCTAAATGATGTACAAAACTGAAATGGTGTGGCTAGTCAATTTAGCAAACTGCATCAATTGGGCAAGACACAGAAAAAAGAAAATCCTAAAAACAAATAAATGCAAACTGGATGAACAAAACATAGATAGATGGCAGGAGGGAAAAAGGCACTGGCTAAGGATAGCATTCAGAAAAAGGGGTTGGAGGAAAAATATGATATTGAGAAGCTATGTCCAAGAAAAACAGAAGAAGAGTAAAGGGAGCAAATGAAACAGAGAATCCTCACGTACTTGTCTGGAGGAAAGCCATCCTCTATAGTTATCAATTGTGGTTTGTGCAGTTTGACTTGATATGGCTGATAAGGTTCTGAGGGACCAAGCTGTTTTTCTAACTTGGTACTGGCAACAGCATCCACAAAACGTCCAATGATGAATTCCCCAGTCTGTTCACTGGTGAAATCAAACCGCATGGTAACATGGAAGAAGCCATTGTCCGGTACCTGACAGGTGATTAAGACTGAATGGACTGACCCTAAAGACAAGGAAACCTGTTTACATTTACAAAATAGCAGGGAAGAGGGCTCTTTTCAGTGTTAACTTTCTAACACTAGACTTGAAATTAGTAACATGCAATCTCCAGAAAATACAAAGCACATTCTGTAAATAGTTTGCAACAAATCCTTTTATATTTATCTAGTTTAAAGATACAAAGAATTGCACATCCCAATTTCTAACTATGCCTCAAAAACCTAACAAATTGGAAAATCAGTGCTTAATTCTTAAGCACCTTGGCCCATAAAGACTTTGATGAGTCTCATATGCTATTATTATATAGCATACATTATGTCTACAATGACATTATTCAATTATGTTAGACAACTATTATAACATTCATGCAATCAGAAATTGAGCAGGTCTGTAATCTCACCTCCTATTATTTTCAACAGATATACCTCATGGAATTTTGACTGGTGCTTATTAACATAGTTCACAGTTGTAAACACTTCTGGCTACTGTAGTAATTGTGCAGGCAAGAAATGAACAGGTTCACAATCTCATTACCACAACTTTCTACGTTAGTGCTCATGCATTTCTTCCTGATGCTTCATGAATTATGGAACAGTCGATGCAAGGTGTCATAAACAATAGTAGACAAACTGTTGGGTAGTGGGCTTCAGATTAGGTTAAGGTATGAGAGTTTATTTATTATTCTCCATCCCTATAAAACAGCATTTCCTTCCAGAAGCATCAGGCATTTGTGTATCATTTCCTTTTCATTCAATGGTCCCCTAATTTGATATACTTCTGAAAGTGAGCCACTGCTTCGAGAGTACGTAGGTTAGAGAAAATGGTTCCACATTTACATGCCATCTATAGCCAGTACTTGAAAACAATTTAGATTACCATTAACTGGGACTTTCCTCTGGAAAAAAACACTAAATGCTGAATCCCATTAAATCCACCCTGAATTGGATTAATCTTAGATTAATTCCAAGTACTGCATTACTTCAACTCAGGACCCATTCGATTGCACACATTCGACACTTTTTCTCTGTCAAGAACAGTATGGATTTCTAGTAAGAAAGTCTTGGGTATGCATGCTTTCTCTTTCAGAGTTTTGCACTCAATCTATCTGTCATTTTTTATGGGAAATCATTTGGAGAAAAAAGTACAGAAGTTGGTCAGCTTTGCATTAATGGTAGTACTTACTCTTGGACGCTTAGTCAGCCACAATTCTGAGCATGTTTCAGGTGCATTCCAAAACACACTGAGTTAGGTTTTAGAGGCTTATGTTATCTCACTAAAAGCTGGAGGAGTCTTCTAACAGTATTTTTTGCAGTGCTTAATTGTTCTGTAATGATTTTACAATCTGTGATCCACACCAACTCTTTTAAGGGATCAAGCAGTATGTTTCAACAAATACATACATACATTACCTGGTAGTAGTTTCACAGGCGAAGGTAGTTCAGGAACCACAAAGGTGAATTTACAACGTTTATTCAGTATGTATCTTTCCAGCATCACTTCATTTGTCCCACAGTTCTTCACTTCAATTTTAATTAGCAAACTCTGCTTTGGAGAAATGTTGAATCGGATCCTACCATTTGGCTTATCATACTCTGAAATAATTTTTACCCCGTTCTTAGAGGAGACAAATTCTGATCTGGAACAAAGAGACTGAGGAATCAAACACTTTCCACAACTTCTAATACCATATGTGCATGTTCAGGTTTCTGCTTAATTGCCCCATGGTAATGGGGTTACACTTTCAAAGGATATGAATAATACCAAAATAGCTACTGTAGAGCAGAAAACAGGAATATTCAGAAAATTAAATTTCAGGTTTTGTTTTGTTTTTTTAAAGTAAAAACCTAACTGCCATCAATTCCAAGGTGGCATGGCATGGGCAAGATGGAGGTGACAGGAGCTGTTATATAATAAATTGAGAATAGAAGGTGGGGAAAGCTATAATGTAAGGCAGCATATAAATTGATCTTAATTGTTCATAATTTAATAACTTCTAGCTGAATTACTGAGAAGCACTGTATGGTTGACCATGACATCTTGTTCACAAAGTGCAGAACGTTAGATCATTACTATGTTATCATCACATTACATCTGTGCTATGACAACTGTAATAATTTTCAGGCTACTTTGGAGTACTAAATTTGATCTTTAAAGCTACAATAGTTAAGGATCAGGGCAGGAAGGTCTGTCTCCACTTCAAAATCTTCCCAGTAGGATCTCTTGTGGGAGCCCTGCCACAACCAGAGAGGGTATTGTCGGTGTTACTACTCCAGTGACAAAACACTTTCTCTAGAGTGCTTTATTTGGCAACTAACTTAATGGCCTTTTAACATCAGGCACAGGCCTGTTTATTCTCCCAAGGTTTTAAGATACAATTTTAATTTCTGCTTAGAATTTTATGCTGCTTATGTCTTTTTTTTTTTTTTTGTCTTTACACTCCCATTCTTTTGTTACACCACTGTGGAAAAATAAAGAAAAGCCATTCTAAAAGTACTTTGTATATGTTTGTTATAAATGCTTGCCCCCCAAATAATAATTGCCAACGAATTTTTAAAAGCCTGGATTATCTCATTAAATAGAAGAGAATAGTAAACCTTCCTGATCAAAGGGAAGGTTACATGGTCTAAGGCCCATTTTCAAATTCAGATGGAATTAGGCTGAAGAATGGGCAGTCCATAGGAGAGTAAAGCTACTTAAGAGCCCTATCAAATCTAGATAAAAGGAAAAAAAGAACCTGCCATACATATACTCAGACTGAAATATCAATATATGAATAGTGAATTTCAAATCTGAAATAAAGTAGTATGTACCTTTGATACTAGTGATTCTCTCTAGTATAACAACAGACACTAGTACAGGTAGTCCTCAAGTTACAATTGGAGCTGGGACCCGGATTGCCATCACTAAGTGATTTGGTCATAAAGCAATCCAGGCAGTCCCAGTTGGCAGTAGGAAATGGAGGGAGTCCCAGGTAAGGAATGTGGGGGTGCTGCGGGGTAGTGAGGGAGGCCCTGGGAGGTGTGTGAGTCTGGGGGTGCTCGGTGTGGCATGAGCTCAGAAAGGGGAATGAGGGCGCAAGGTATGTATGATCGCAGGGATGCCGTGGAAAGAGGGCACACGAGTACATGCATGCGATTGCAGGGATACTGTGGAAAGTGGGTATGGGGTATGTGCATACACATGTGCAAGTGCAGGGAGGCTGTGGAAGGAGGGTGTGGGGTACATGCATGCAATCACAGGAAGGCCATGGAAAAAGGGTGTGGGATACATGCATGGGATCATAGGGAGGCTGTGGAAAAAGGGCATGGTGTGTGTGTGTGTGCGTATCTGCGCAGGGAGGTCACGGAAAGAGGGTGTAGGGTGTGTGCAAGTGAAGGGGGAAGGAGGGCACGGTGCATGTGTGTGAGTGAAGAAAGGCCAAGCGGGGGGGAGGGGAGACTTATCCCAGCAATTTGTGACCTTCCTCATTGGCTTCCCATTGGCTTTCCTTGGGGTAAACTGGCAACAAAGGGCGCAAATGGTGATCACATGACCACAGGATGCTGCAACTGGTCAAGTCCGAGCTGGTTGCCAGGCACCCAAATTTTATTCATGTGACTGTAGGGGCACTGCAATGGCCGGAACTTTGAGGACTGGACATAAGTCCCTTAGTTCAGCATCATCGTAACTTCAAACAGTCGCTGAACAAATGGTCATAACTCAAGGGCTACCTTTAAACTTTGCTTTGAATTCAACACAAATGATTCATTAATCCCCAGAACACATTTATCCAGGTCAATGAAAGACTACACCTTCCCCAACCTGGTGCTTCCAATGTCTTGCACATCACTTCCCATAATCTAGCTGGCAAGGGATTCTGGGAGTTAGAGCCCAACAGATTTGGAGGACATCATGTTAGGGAAGGCTGGCATAGAGACTGGGATCAGAATCTTTTTTGCCAACAAGACAGGAAGAAAGAGCTTCCTCATGCTGACTTTAAGGGGCAGAAAAATTGACCAGAAAAAAACTCAGTAAGCTTTACCACAGCCCTTAATACAAATGATTCACAAGCCTTCCCAAATCTGGTGTTGATGAACCTTGTATTGCTCTCCTTGCTGCACTCTGTAATCTACAAGCTAGAAATGAGGTCTGGTGAGGTGGATCATGCTGCTCACTTGTATGATTTTTCAAATGGCCACCAGTATTCACAAATGAGTTTGCTTTTGTTTTTCCAAATAAGTCCTCAGCAGTATCTACAGTATGATAGGTGAGTAGGGCAGGAAGCATACTCTTTCTCTGATATACTTCGGCATGACTCCTTCTTTAACAAAACTTAAAGGAACCAAACTATTCATCCAGGTAACCTATTGAGGAGGGAAAGATGGACAGATTGTGTGATTGCACAGATGACTTGAACTACTTATAATCAACTTATTGTCATCATGGTTTCCATGCATCACATGTATGGGAGATAAGCCAGCTTACCAATAAGATGTGGGCAGGCACATTCACAGTTGAACATAGAGGACAACACAACTCTGCTGAGAGATACAATTGTTTTCCTGAGATAATTAAGTAATAATGCTTAATGAGTGTCTGAGGTTAGCCCAAACAGCTGCTTTGTACAGGTACAGAAGGGGCACCACATGAAGTGATGCTGTAGATGTTGAAACCATTCTTACAGAATACCCAAGGGAGTCTTGCAGTACAAGCTAATTGTACCAGATGGTATTCTTATCCAGTTACCAAACCTTTGGGCTGAGACCAGCATACATTTTCTAAGATCGGCATAATAAATAAAGCCTGTAAAATGGTCAAATGATTTTTATAGTCATTATAGACCACCAGAGCTCAGAGTGTATCTAATGCATATAGGAATTATTCCAATGAAAAGGATGACAACGTTTAAAAGGTAGTTAGCACAATGGGTTGATTCACATGAAATCTTTAATAAAAAGATAATATGTCAGAGAGTCATCTTCTGCAAGAGGAAGGAGGAGGAAGGGGGGGGTGGCAGCAGTTGACTTGCTTGTCCTTCTGGCTGATGTTATTGACACAAAGAATGCCACTTTTGAAGGAGAAAATATGTAAATAATTTATTGCTAGAGATTCAAAAGGGTTTGTAAGGAGACTAAATATGACAATGGGGAGACCGTACTGTGGTGCTGAAGCTGTTAGTGGAGGAAAAAGATTCAGAAACTGACATATGACAGTTTGCATGTTTAGGTACCTCTAGTCAAACTGTATGTTTCAATTAATTTCTAAGGGAACAGTTTCCAAAACACTTTCTGTTCACTTAGGAATTCACTGAAATATATAATTTGATTAGGACTGCACTTTTGCGTGCAACTATTTTTGCTTACAACTATTATTCCAAATATTTGGATTGGAACCAAGATGCGAAGTAAAATGATTTTGCTACATAGAATCTCCTAAATCTGAACATATACTGTTGGGTTTGGGTAACTGAGATGTGCAGCTATTTGAATCTAAAATGAAAAAGCTGCCTTGCAAGAAACACAGACATGTTTGCAACACCTGTCATACCTCCTTCAGGAAGCAATACTTTTTCCTGGACTGTCATGGTAGCCCCCCCCCCCCACCAGTCCCAGCAAAATGCACATTTCAGTTAAGGAGGTCAGGTGCATAGCTATGATACAAATCTCTGCAGCAGTGAGGGACTTGTTAAAAATGATCCAATCCAGATGCTTGGTGGATCTGAATGGTTTACTGAATGCACCTGAGAAATTTTCCATACCGTCTGTTGGCAATACTTAAACAATGCTGTGGATGTCCTATCTCGGTGTCTGGAGGCTGTGAGGATCTGGAGGGGAACAGGCTTCAACTGAACCCTGGCAAAACTGAGTGGCTTTGGATTTTGAGCCCCTCTGGTTCTAGGATTTTACCATCTTTGGTACTGGATGGGGTCACACTACCCCAAACTGTCCCTGTGCGCAATCTGGGGGCCCTCCCGGACTCACAACACCTGCTTGAAGAGCAGGTGGCCGTCGTGGCTAGGAGGGCCTTTGCACAGCTTCATATTGTGTGCCAGTTGTGCCCATTCCTTGATCAGAGGGACCTACTCATGGTCACTCATGCCCTGGTCACCTCCCGGTTAGACTACTGCAATGCGCTCTACATGGGGCTGCCCTTGAAGAGTATCTGGAAACTTCGGCTGGTGCAAAATGCAGTGGTGTAAGCAGTTATATGTGTTTCTAACAGAACACATGTTACACCTCTGCTGCATTGGTTACCAGTTTGTTTCCAGGTCCAATTCAAGATGCTGGTGTTGACCTTTAAAGCCCTTCATGGCATGGGGCTGGGCTATCTGAGGGACTGCCTCTCCCCAATTCCATCTGCCCATTCTACCAGATCCAGCAGAGAGGGCATGTTACAGGTTCTGTCGCCTAGGGAGCTAAATTTGGCGGGCCCTAGGTGGTGGGCCTTTTTTGCTGCGGCGCCCATGCTGTGGAATCTTCTCCCCCCTGAAATGAGGTTGGCTTTGTCACTGTTGAGCTTCTGGAGGTCCCTTAAGACTTGGCTATGCCAGCAGGCCTGGGGACCTCAGGGGACAGGTGAATTAGTGAGGTGGCTCCCTTATTTTTAACTTCCTTTTATTCTTGGTTCTATTTTGATTTTTATATTTTTTATGTATCTATTGATTGTTTTTAGCTTTGTTGTATGACGCCCAGAGTCGACTGTGGTGAGATGAGCAGCTATATAAATTAGTTAAATAAACAAACAAAAAAACAAATAATGCTGCTTGATCTGGAATACAGAGATGGCCTGGACGGTTGATATTATTGTTCCTAAGCCCTTTCTTTCCTGTCATAGAGCTAAATCAGCCTCTTCATCTATAAAGGACTTCAGAGCAATAAAGTAAAAGGGATGTCAGCTGAAGCACAGGTATAGAATCTCTCAGGATAAATCAAACTGTACGCAAACCAAGCCCCACCTGAAGACCTTCTCTGTGATAGGGGAGATAGCAAAGAATGCCTACTTCTCTGCCTTCATAGCATCCACACAAAATAGGCTGAAGCTGCTTTTCTGTGCTAAGAAGCATCTCAAACACCAGGGATAGTGGCCAGAAGAGTTGATAGCTCGCTGTGAACAATTTCCATCATTCTTTGAGACAAAGCTGATTAAATCCATTCTCATCATGCAACTGCTGTGGTTGTCAGAAACAAACTGAAGAAAAAGGGGGAGCCCTGCCTTGGAATATATGAAGATGGGGCAAATGTCTCATCCATTATAGGCTCCAATGAATAATTCGGCTCAGATGTAAAACCCACACATCTGATGCACAAACACCATGATGAACAAGCAATCTCTCCATCTGGAAAACAGAGACTAGGAGACATATATATGAATGCATGTTCTTCCCAAAGCAGAGGTGCAGTAGGGCTCAAAAACCTAGTTTGGGCATTTACTGAGCAATCGGATTTGGGTTGGGTCAGAATCCTAGCCTTTAAAAAAGAAAAGAGATAAAGTCCAGACAGAATCAAATTCTGTTTTTTCCTCT